CTGATAGCAATTTCTTTTCTGCAATTTTGGGTAAACCTCTGAGAAAATTGGCCTGTTTAATAAACAGTGGGATGCTTGCCATGAAAAATATAGCTGTATATAGCTTATTACTTGTATCATTGGTAAAATTCATTTACTATCATAAAATTCCAATAATCATGTACACTGTTAGGTATTTTTAGTCAGACAGATATTGGATAGATACTTTATGTATTAGAAATGTTTAGTGGAGATAGGATGTCTAGTTAGACTGTTAAATGCTTAGTCATGCTTATGAGTTTCTACAGGGTACATCTGGTCAAGGATAACTAGAAAGAAGAGTTGATGACTGTCAGCAGACAGGGTGTTTAATATTATTATTATGATGTGTATAACTGTAGCCTTAGCCATAATATGTTCTTATGTTTAAGTCACGACATGTTCTAGAAGTCTGTGAGAATGTTTTTAGCTACACACCACTTAATCAACAGACACACACACACACATTGATTTGCTTCATGTTTTGACTACTGCTATGGCCAGCTGCAAAGCTGGCAACAGAGACGTCTCGGTTGACGTTTCTGTGTAGTATGGGGCTAGCCCAACCGAAGAGATATAATGTATAGGCCTGGTGGGCTCAGGGTCTTCCATCTTACATCTGCCTGCGTGCAGTTTGGAGGTGCAAGATACTTGAGCGTGTAATGTTAATTTTGCTTGTGATCCTTTGAATAAATCAGCACTGTTTTGAAGTTACTGGGACTGCCTCGTCTCTCAGAGTCAGTATGGTAAAAAGTACGGGGTACAACAACACTACGAGGCAAAGGTTTAGGCACACTATCCCATTGAATTGAATGGGAAAGTACATCCAAACCTTTGACTTGTAGTGTACTTCAAAATAAAGTTAAAAAATCTAAAAGATTAGTTTTTCTAAAATTGCTCCCTCTGCATGGGGTTCTTATCATCCTAAGCTCAGAGTCTGAAAACAGTTGCAAAAACTGTATCTGAGTGCTTTGATTCAAATGACAAAATAGCAGTGAGATGGAAAAAGTTTTCTGAAACACTGGCACATGTCAGTACAGTGAACGGTTGACAATTGTAAAATGTGTTTGAAGCCTTGTACTATATCCTTAATCAAAGGTCGTGGCATATCAAAGTGCAGGTACTACCTCCGCCTTTGCTACATTGTCTCTGTGTTCCACTGAATAATGCAGGATGGTCTAACAGCGAATTACAGTTCCAGGAAGAGACGTGCAGTATGGCTCCATTCTTCCATCATGGAGTCACCATGTTGTCAGTTTGTTTTGTGGCTTTGTAATGTAAGCATGTAATAACAACACCCCACCCCCTGTTGTACCCGGTACTTTTTACCATACTGACTCTGAGAGACGAGGCAGTCCAAGTAACTACAAAACAGTGCTGATTTATTCCATGAACACAGGCAAAAATTAACATTACATGCTCAAGTATCTTGCACCTCCAACCTGCACGCAGGCAGATGTAAGATGAAAGCCCCTGACCCCACCAGGCCTATACATTATATCCCCTCGGTTGGGCTAGCCCCATACTACACAGAAACGTCAACCGAGACGTCTCTGTTGCCAGCTTTGCAGCTGGCCATAGCAGTAGTCAAAACATGAAGCAAATCTGTGTGTGTGTGTGTGTGTGTGTGTCTGTTGATTAAGTGGTGTGTAACTAAAAACATTCTCACACGACTTCTAGAACATGTCGTGACTTAAACATAAGAACATATTATGGCTAAGGCTACAGTTATACACGTCATAATAATAATATTAAACACCCTGTCTGCTGACAGTCATCAGCTCTTCTCTCTAGTTATCCTTGACCAGATGTACCCTGTAGAAACTCATAAGCAGGCCTAAGCATTTAACAGTCTAACTAGACATCCTCTCTCCACTAAACATTTCTAATACATAAAGTATCTATCCAATTTCTATCTGACTAAAAAAAATACCTAACACCAGCCTTAATTTACTGCTTTGTGTGAGCTGGTTTGATGCCACTTTATACTTGGTTCCTCTCAGTGAGGACAGAGCAGGGAGGATCAGAGGACTATTTTTGGAGTGTGAGATAATGGCCATGAATAAGAAATAGAAAGAGAGATAATTTCTCTGCTGTGTCATGGACCTTGTCTGCACTGCACTCAGATGAGATAAAAATAAGATAAAACTGGGAAAACAAACACTTAACAAAACCTGCATACGACAGGAACACTGAAAATTTGGGAAATATGCTTGTTTGCTGTCTTGCTCACAGTCAGAATACAGTCTGTAAAATGTATGTCTGTAAAATCTTGCAGACAACCTAAGGCAATCTTAAAGATGTTTAATATGCTCTAAGAAGATAATGAAAAGGTACAGCTGCCAGTCAGCCCCTCTTGCTGATACACTTGCTGCATTTCCAGTATCGGAACCTAACGAGTGCTTGGTGTGGGAGGGAGGGGCTGCTCCGCTCTAACACAGGCAGTTAGCTGTGGGTTTATACATGGTGCTTGTAATGCTAATGCTTGAGGTGTGAAGATGTGGACATTTAACTAATCACCAGTGACCACTCTGCGTGCACGCACACCCCCTCTTCCGTCACGTTCCTGGTACTTCATTTTAGTACTACCACTATCTCCCTGGGGGGTGCCGAAATTTAGTACCTGGAACACACCTCCAGTGGTAGTAGAAACAAATGCAGAACCAGTGACAAGTGTTACTCGGCATGACACGTTTCGGTAGGCTCCTATAATGGAAAACCCTCTCTATCACATGGATACAAATACTGTGATTACCATTGTAATAAATACAATGGTAATTATTTATAATACTGAGTTGTTTTGTGATAGCACTCAGTGTTTTCATGGGACCCAATTTATAGGCTTATTTTGACTTTAAGAAATAAAGCAACCAATAGGAAGGCAGTGTTCATAAAAGCTCTAATTCAGCAGTTTTTGAGTTGCCTGACCAACTACGGTATGTTAAATGAACAGGGGCTGTTGATGAACTTTGACACCAGACATCAGCCTTACAGTACAGTATATCCCTGGTGTCCAGATGAATGCAAGGATGTGGCTTGGCTCTCTCTCTTCACTCCTCGAGGGGAAACCCGTTCCTTATAAATAGGACATGCCTGTGAGGCTGAAATAGTTGGCATAACTGCCTGGTTGGTTTTCTGCTGCTGTGTCGCCTGCTGCACCAGCTGTTGCATGCATTTGTTTTGATCATGTGATAAAGTTGACTAAAACTTAATATAGTAGGTCTTAGACTTGCTGTTGCTATCCACATACACAAGACCAGTCCTGCACTCCTACAAATATCATGGTATTTATATTGATAGCAGTTTGACCTGAAATACCTATGCTAATTCAGTCTGTTTGCAACTTCACCGGAGATTGTATGTCTTATGTAGACTACGCTTTTATAGTGTTGACCAAAACATCATGTTTCTGTTTTATCAGGCTGTTTTAGAGAATGTTTTCAGGTATGGATTGGCAGCATAGTTGGCAGTTTGACTGAAAATGAAGACAAGGTTAACAAATATTGCAGAAATTACAATGAAAATGATCGGCCAAAAGAAATCATAGCCTCCAGCTCCTCTATGAACAGTGTGTACTCAAGCAAGCAAGGAGAATCCCGTTTGGTCCACAATAAAAGAAATATTATCTTATCCATATGTACCTTCTCTCCCACCCAGTTCAATCTCATATGGCTCCAAAGACGTCACACAGTAGCTGTCTGATGGATCCCTTTACATACATTTAGGATAAAAGCACAAATTATCTTGAAATCTAATCCTTAGTCGTTCTTTGGATTTCAGTGCTAAGGTCTTTTGTGTTGGTAAATAGTTGGGAGGTATATCTTGTTTGTGTTCTCAGCAGAAGTGGAAAGTATCACCATCTCAAGTTTCTCTACAAGTTTCTGAGCAATGTTGTCATCTTTGTACGCCACAGGGATATAATTGGTGTTTAAATAATTATCACAGCATGATTGCAATATTGATACAGTTATAAACACTGACCAGTTGTCTCCCAGCCTTGTTGTTGCATAGAATATGTGATGTAATGAATATTTTACTGAGTCTTATCACACATCTCTCATCATTTTAACCAGTTTACAGCATTATTACTTTGTCCCATAATCTGACTTAGACATTCTTCTCTGTTCTGACTTGGCCCATAAGTTATTAGTCTTTGTGCTAAATACTCATTGCACCTTATTGATTTTAATGAGCTTGCAGGCTACTTCTGCCCAAAAAGGCTTGTATCAGACAAATAAGCTCTCGCTACTTCATGCTGTTAGGACACTGTTAGAGTTTATAGGCTCTGTGGTGTTTCCTAAACCTAGTTCTTGACAGTTGTCAGTATGTCTTACCTGTATTGGTGCTGACAGGCCTGCGTCACCACTAACCTTCCCTGTGACATGATATTAGTGCTATTATGGAGTTACTTGAAGTAACACTGAGCCAGCATGTAGGTGAAGAAGCAGTGACTATGATTCTAATTTCCTGTCAACCTAGAGCAGATAAAACAGCCTGTCACAGCTCTGATCCCAGCCTGGCTGACCTGCTAACCCACTGGCTCAGCATACTGAAGCTTGGTATTTCTAGTACATGCACAGCACTGGATTATAAAACACTTGGCAATGTTCAACATGTACCACACATTCCCATCTGCTGACCATCATCAGGAATTCCAAGACCTTACTAATAATTTTTATTTATATGCACAAGACACAAACAACAGCTTACAAAGCAGTAAACAATAGATACATAACTGGTGAAATTGAGGGGATTGGTTGCTGAAGCTTAGTCATTTACTTTACATAAGAATATAGCTTGTTATCAGTTACTAGAGAAAGTGTCATTGCTTATTTTTGCATACACATCCTGTTAGTTTTTACAGTTGTAGGCTATAGAGATGGCACAAAACCATTATATACACCACATTTAAATACTTTCATACTGAATGTTATTGTTATGCTACTGTAGACTAACATTTGTGTGCTTTGTCTGTTCCACAGGGCTCCAGAGATTATTTTGGGATTGCCGTTTTGTGAAGCCATAGACATGTGGTCCCTAGGCTGTGTGATAGCTGAACTTTTTCTGGGATGGCCACTTTACCCTGGGGCCCTGGAGTATGACCAGGTAAACAATATTTTTCTCACACTCAATTTTT